AAAAAGCAACGAGTAATTTGTAATTTGTTGGAGTTCACTTGTAAATAATAGAGTAAAATGTTCTTGAATTAGTGGATTTTATTTTAAGAAATCTCTAGTCAAACTTTCCGAGAACTTTCTTTTCAACCTAATAGTTTAGAATAATTGATTTTTTCTAGGTTCAGGTTATGTCAAACAAAGTAAACGAGAGCCTAAGCCTGAGCTTAACGTTCAGCATTGTTCTCTAAAGTTAGTTTCTATTTAAATAACAAAATCTTTTTGACAAGATTTGTTGCAAGAAATATAGCATGAATTCAAATTCAAACTGCCTACTCTCTTATCCTTTGTTGAATCTAAAAAATTGCTGATAAGTTAAATTTAGCCCATAAGAAGTCGTTTTTCTCGTGCAAAAAGTGAGCCGAACGTGCATTTTCTCTCAATTTAGTTTCTGTTTAAATAACAAAATGTTTTGACAAGATTTGTTGCAAGAAATATAGCAAAATTTCAGGTAAAAATTGATCCCAAAAAAGCATAGCGATATTGGGTATAGCATTGGGCATAGCGACTTCGAATAACGGCAAAAATGGCTCAGTTGTTGACTGCTCTTTCCCCTTTTTTTCTAACTTTCTGATACCAAAAGAGAAGTACCTTATACTAGAATCATTTACCAGATCATGAGCGATTTCGCAGCCGTACAAAGAACGCCTTGCCAGTCATTTACATTGAGATTTTTCTTTTGAATTGTTGAATTTGAATTGATGCTACAAAAAACAGAAAATCCATTAAAACTTAACTATAAACAGTAGTACCAATTACACTAGTATCAATTTTTTTGATACTTATAAGTTAAAGAAAATTGAGGAGAGTGAATTAGTATTGCTTTGTGGGCTTCCTTTTTGTGCAGAGAATATTACCGCTTCGTTTTCTTTTCACTCTTTTCTTTCATCGAAAAACCCCATGGGGATTGGTTCGGAAAAAATTTCGCTTCCTTTTATCTATGGGTTTCTCGTTTCAAATTTTTCTTGATTATTAGATGTTAAAGGATGTTTCTATTGTCTTTATTAGGTTTATATTGATTTTAAAATCAATATAAACCCAATTGCCTTTTAGGATTTTGATAAGAAAGCATTTTTTTCGCTTTTAAAGTGTTGATTTGAAGCCATTTTCTATTCCAGTTTTAGTTTAAATAAAGAAAAAGTAAAGATTTTTAGCTAATTTGATAATTGTTAGAAAGTTATGAACTTTCTAGAATGGTCTTTTTATAAATCTAGACTCAAAATTAGCTTCTGCTTTGATGAATCGCTTTTAAATTGTTGATTTGAAGCCATTTTCTATTCCAGTTTTAGTTTAAATAAAGAAAAAGTAAAGATTTTTAGCTAATTTGGTAATTGTTATGAAGTTATGAAGTTTCTAGAATGGTCTTTTTATAAATCTAGACTCAAAATTAGCTTCTGCTTTGATGAATCAAGTTTATCATTAAACCTTTCATTCATAATCCAAAAATTCTTCCCAAATTTTTTAATCTGATCATAGCTTCACTAGTTTTTTCCAAATCCCCCTTTCAAAACTGTTTTCCACAATCGTTCAGGAGTGAATTTTAAGTCATTTGCCGTTCTTTTCCATTGCTCTGTTGGCGGTGTGATTTATGTGAGCTTGGTGGATTGAAAAGGAGAAAATGATCCCATCTAGTCGTCCTTACAACTCTTTTTTTTCCTTTTCGATGTCCATCAACCAACACTTTATACTCTCTGATAGTACAAGCCAAACAATTCATTCTCCATATAAAGTTTTCGCTTCTTGAGTTAAAAAAAGTACATTAACACAAGCTTCTAATACAAGTGTCATTCATTTTTCCCCAATAACTACGGAAAGCTTGTCAAATTTGGTACTTATGATATTTCAAAGTCATTTGTGTCAGGGGCTAGGTCAGGTTAGAGGTTAGACTTAACTCAAGAAGTTCCTGGATTATCAGAAATCAACCTTGAATCTGCTCTGGTTCTTGGCTTGACTTAACTCAAAAAGTTCCTGGATTATCAGAAAGCAACCTTGAATCTGCTCTGGTTTTGGCCTGAATTAACTAAAGAAGTTACTGAATTATCAGAAATCAATCTTGAATCTGCTCTGGTTCCTGGATTCATCAGAAATCAACCTTGAATCTGCTCTGGCTTTTGGCCTGATTTACATGCTCCAATACCGTTCGAAATTTCCCAGCTTTTTAAAAGCTAATAGTTATTCCAACAGCTATTCTTCCGACTTTTTGATCGCTTTCCTAGTTCTAGTTTATTTCATCATACCAGTCTTGCTTTTCTCTCTTTCATCTTTCATCTCTTTTCATCTCCGTTTCTTTTTCATTTCATTTAAAATTGAAATCTGTTTTTAAAACAAATTCTTTTCATTGATTTATTGCGGAAATTAATTGCGGAAATTGCTTTGTGGCTTAAATATTATAATTATGATAATTGTTGCAATTTTTTTTGGTAAATTTCGAATGTTAATCGATTTTGAGAAACTACAAACGATAGGAAAATTTTAAGAGGCATTAGTTGGCTTTTGGAATAGACGTTTACGCAATGAAACAAAAAGAACACTAGTTATTTGACATTTCGTTAACTTCTCTTGAATCGGATTTTATAGCTTTTTTTTTCGTTTTAAAAATATGATAAAAATGGCGAAGTTTTCGAATCAGGCAATTTCATTTTTTGTTGTTTTAAGCCAGCTATAACTTTAACTCTTACTCAGAAGTGATAGAAAGAGTACATTTTGAGCTGCTTTATTCTGCCATCAGTGTTTTACGTTTTTTAAAATCAATTCAACTCATTTTTCAAGTTTAAAGGTGATACTTTTGAGTCGAAGTCTTTAACGAAAAACAAGGTCTTTAAGGATATAAAAGCTTTCTTTTCTATTAAACTTTTACTAATCTTTCTCAAATCACTGACTAATTGGATGATTTTGAATCCTGTTTTTTTTGTTATTCATAACAAGTGGGTGGACTTGTTAATCCTTTCCAGGAAAAATTGAAAGGGGAAAGAAGAAGAAGAAGAAGAAGAAGAGGAAAGAAGAAAGAAGAAGGAGAAGAGGAAGGAGAAGAAGAAGAGGAAGAAGAAGAAGAAGAAAGAAGAAGAAGAGGAAGAAGAAGAAGAAGAGGAAGAAGAGGAAGAAGACGAAGAAGAAGAAGAAGAAGAAGAAGAGGAAGAAGAGGAAGAAAAGAAGAAGAGGAAGAAGAGGAAGAAGAAGAAGAGGAAGAAGAGGAAGAAGAGGAAGAAGAAGAAGAAGAAGAAGAAGAAGAAGAAGAAACCCTTCAAAGTTTACGAAAAGTTTTCAATAAAAAGATTACAAAAGAGATCGAATCTTTGTCTTTTCTTTTCTTTTCAAAAACTAGTTTTTATTTTCTTAAAAGCAACCAATTGATGAACTTGTTGAAATCCTTTCAGAAAAACCAATATTTAAACATAAATCTTTTCTTTTCAATGGAAGACATGCGAAATTTCACATTAAGCCCGGCACATTTTGGTGATAAGCTTTTATCTTTTGACAAGCCTTGTTTCTTCTCATTTTCTTCTTTCTACGTAATTTTTGGCAGATTTTCCTGTGTTCGACCGAGATTTCTTTTGATTTTGATTGTATAAACTATATGAATTTGTTTCTTTTTTGTTTAGAATCTTATTTTATAATTGTAGCTAGTTTATGAATAGTTTGAAGCTTATTTTTAGCTTTATTAAATGTTTATTAACACTATTTAAGTTATTGAGTAACTCGCTGTAAAAAAAAGTAAAAAAAGCCAAAGAATTAGCGGCGAGAGGAATCGAACCCGCGACCTCTCTATTTCGTTCGTTTGAAAAACGCGCACGTTAACCACTCGGCCATGCTCTTTTATCTGGCTCTTGAGAACAGGCTGCTCTCGCTGCGATACAAGGGAGCTCGCAGAAAGCGGGACCCTCGCATTAGATGGCGCAGTGCGAGCGCCCTTGTTTCTAACCCACACGACCCGGGTTCGACTCCCGGACGCGTCAAAAATTTTGGTTTTTTAAAAATTTAAAAACATGTTGCACAACTAGATGAAATTCTATGCTAAATTAACTGTAAACCATTTGAAACAGTTCTCTGGGGGCTGAGGAGTAGCGCAAATAGACAGACAGGCGTCATCTTTATATTATTCCAGATGATGCTTTTAACTATATTCTAGCTATTTAAGGAAACTTTCTTGAGACTCAATTCTTCAAATTATGAGTAATCATTTAGAGAATCGATTGCGCCAGAGAGAGAGAGAGAGAGAGAATGTTTTCTTGAACACAAAGAACAATTTTAGTTACTTTAAACCATCTTTAGCTTTAGAGTAAAAAATCTAGACTGATTATTCGTTAAATTCCAACAAATCAAACTTTAATATTTTGATAATAGAAGAGGTTTTCTTTAGAGGTTTTCTATTTTTTCAATCACCCCCTAGACCCCGTCTTCTATTCGAGACGGTCTTATAATCGAGGCCGGTCTTCTATTCGAGTAAATACGGTAATCTGTTTGAATGTTTTACTTGTCTTCATCTAAAATCCCTTAATTTTTGCAAAAGCCAGATGCTTTTTCCTAACTTTTTTCAGCTGTTTTCTCTATTTTCTCATAATTCTCTCTAAAATCTCATTACTTTCAGCAAATTAACTTTCTCCTTTTTCCGCCCTTTTCAATCTCGAAATTCAAACACTTTTCTAAAACTAGAAACATGTTATTTTTAGGCTTTTATTCATCAATCTTTATGATAATTTATTGATGATATTTTTGATGATGTTTATCTCAAAGATTGGTTAAATTTATGGAACTTAGTAGCCTAATAGGTAGTAGACTAGTGGTATGGTGATACCTCTGAGATACCTCTGTTTCATTTTAGTTATTTTAAGCTTTTTATTCATCAATCTTTATGATAATTTATTGATGACATTTTTGATGATATTTATCTCAAAGGTTTGTTTAAATTTATGGAACTTAGTAGCCTAATAGGTAGTAGACTAGTGGTATGGTGATACCTCGGACGTATGGTGATACCTCTGTTTCATTTTGGTTATTTTTAACCCTTTTATGCATCAATCTTTATGATAATTTATTGATGACATTTTTGATGATATTTATCTCAAAGATTGGTTTAAATTTATGAAACCTAGTAGCCTAGTAGGTAGTAAGCTAGTGGTATGGTGATACCTCTGACATACCTCTGTTTCATTTTAGTTATTTTTAACCCTTTTATTCATCACTCTTTATGACAATTTATTGATGACATTTTTGATGATATTTACCACAAAGATTTGATTAAATTTTTCATCATTTTCTTTTCTAAATCTGATCAAAAATCTTTCTATATATTGTTGATTTCAGATTCAAAAAAAAAGAGGATTTTGGTCTATCCACTCAATAAAGCTCACCCAGCTACGCTCAGGTAAGTCAAAGGATTAAGAAAAAGCAGAAAGAAAAGAAGATTCCTTTATCAGAATTCAATTCTCTGTAAACAATCTTTAGCTTTCTTTAAGAACTATATGAATTTGTTTCTTTTTTTGTTTAGAATCTTATTTTATAATGTTTATAATGATTATTGAATGCTAGAGGGTAATTGAAATGTAGGATCAAGTTAAATTAATCATTTAAAGCATCAATTAGTAGTTTTTCTTTGAATTTTTATATTCATTACACTCTAAATATACTTTATTACATTGTAAATAAGACTCATAAACAATTGAGGACAAGTTTCTATTAGCTAAACCGTTTTTATTATGTTATCTATGCTCAATTAGTATTTTGAACTGTAGAATCAAGTTAAATTAATCATTCGAAGTCTAAATTAGTAGTTTTTCTCTAAAATTTTACATTCATTACACTCTAGGTATACTTTATTACATTGTAAATCCTTTATTAAACTTTATTAAACTTCATTACACTGTAAATAAGATTCATAAACAATTGAGGACAGGTTTCTATTATCAAAACCGTTTTTATTGAGTTCCCTATGCTTAATTAGAATAATATTCAAGTGAAATTGTTTTGATTATCATTATTATCATTATTCCAGGGGAATGGCATCGAATGCGATGTCACAAGGCGGTTCACAGCCGGGTGGACCTGGAGGTGGCCCCGATTCACATGGAATCTACGGGGGACAACCGATTCCACATTATGCAATGTATCCGGTTCGTTTATTTGAAGCGATTTTCCCAAAGTTTCATTGCTTATTTCTTAATCTTTTACAAAAATTAGATCGATTTCTTGGTCTAAATTTCGATCCCAAATTACCCAAACCAATTGGGCAAGTGTTTAAATTCAAAAAAAAATGCCGCTAGCAATTCTTGAGAAGATATAACAGCAATTAGGCAGCAATTCGGCAATAATTTACTCCTTTTTTTTGTTCAATTATTGATTTTAAACAAAAACAAGCTTTTTTTAAAATATAAGAAGTAACTTTTAAAGAAAAATTCTAGAATTTCGGATATTATGCGATTTCTAGACAAAGCTTTATCAATTTTTTGTTTAATTTTCTTTTAACTAGCTTTAAGAACCGCTTTTCTATTTCGGTTTTAGAGATATTTTCATCTTTTGCAATGAAAAGTTCTTGAAATTGTTGATCAAGTCTGTTTCCTGGAGCTACACAGATTTGTTTTAACTCGTTTTTTTTTTTGTTTCAATGAATGAATCCCATTTTCTCTCACCTTTTCTTTTTCTTCTTTCTTCTTTCTCTTTCTCTTTCTCTTTCTCTTTCTCTTTCTCTGTCTTCTTTCTTCCCTCTTCTCTCTTCTTTCTTCTTTCTTTTGTCATGTGACTCAAACCGGATCCATGAAAGAAAGAGTAAAAAAAATGAGAAAAAGCGACTACTTGGAAATGATTTATGTCCGAATTGAACACCAACTCCAATTCATTCAATATTTCTCAAATTTTAGGGATTTTTATTGCCAAAAATCTTATTTATTGACTTATTAAACGAATTTAGAAAGGTTTTGAGTTAAATTGAAAGTTGAAATTTCTGGAAGAGATATGAAAAGTAAACTACAATCAGCCAAGTAAACTACAATCAGCCTACAATCGAAAATTTCTATTGAAAAAGTCTAATGTAAGCCGTAATGAGTTAATGAATTATCATTAATGAAGTAAATGGAATGTAAATTTTACGGTATTTATGTAATATAGCCGACAAGGTACCAAAAAATGTTACGATAAAAGAAATTGAAACGGGAATGTGGCGAAATCACTCCACCACCACATTCCCGTTTCAATATTACAGCTATATTACATAAATACCGTAAAATTTACATTCCATTTACTTCATTAAACAATTATGACTTAAAAAAGAACTTCTAGACTTTAGAACTTTTTTAGTTTAACTTAGCTGAATAGATATTCAGTTTTTGACAAATCATTTTGACAAACTAGTTGCTTTACTTATTTTCTTCTCAACAAAACCAGGAATTTCTTTTTTCCAGAATTCAAATTAACTAAAATGAATGTTTTCTTTAGAATTTTCAATACTAACTAGAAAAAGATGTATTTATTTTTTTAAAAATAAAACTAAAATCATCCAAAGAATAACTAGGTTGAGTCGAAGTCGTTGAGTTGAGTTGAGTCGTTTATTTTCTATAAATCTTGATTGAAGTTGAAGCTTTGCTCTCAAAAAGCTAAAAGACATAAAACCTACCGTAAGTACTGTAATAGTACCCCACCGCCCTCGTACAGTCGCGTAGTCGCAAAAGTTTTTAATATTTCATTTTTTCAAAGCGCCTGTACTTTCAAAAAATTCGTCTTTGGTATCAAAAAATAGCCCTGAATTTCAGGGCTATTTTTTGATACCTAAGCGAGCATTGTAGCATAAACCAGTGTCGAGAAACACTCGTGCAAAGCTAGACTACACAGCACTCCGCACCGTCATTATCTTTGGTATCAAAAAATAGCCCTGAATTTCAGCTATTTTTTGATAAATAAGCGCGCATTCTAGCATAAAACAGTGTCGAGAAAAACTCGTTCAAAGCTAGACTACACAACACTCCGCACCGTCATTATCGGGGTGGGGTACTACTACAGTATTTACGGTAGGTTGAGTCGAAGCCAGTTTTTAGCTTTTGCTTTAGCTCCATCATACGTTTAGTTCAATTCTAGAGGTAAATACTTGAATTCTCTAGTAATATTTCATTTCCTTGATATTCCTAATATCAAATATTCCTTATTTCAAGGAATATTGGGTATTTCACCCAAGACTTTCTTTAGTTTTACGACAAAGTGACCGCGAATTATGACGAGACCTTTTTTAGAAAAATTCCTGTCAAACTTTACTTGATTTTTTTACTTTTACTTATTACCAAAGTTTCAAGTATTATATAGAAAAATAAAGCCGTTAATCTTGAGATCATTTATCTAAAAAGAGATTTCCAATTGGAATTATATAAATCATTTTACAAGCTTTTAAATGAGCTCAAAACGGTTTCTCTTTGGCGATCTGCCAGACACTTTTTGATAGACAATATTTTCATCTAGAAAGATATTCTTTTCATCAGACTTATGTTATTTTACTTTAAAAGTATTATTCAATAAAAATATAATGATAGAAAAGCTTGGATAAACCTTGGACTTTGATAAACTACACTGAGATTATGGTGATAACTTTTTTCGAAAAGTTTCTAGTAAACGCTTCACTTATGACGTTTATTACTTGATTTTTTTTACTTTTACTTATTACAAAAGTTTCAAGTATTATATAGAAAGATAAAGCCGTTAATCTTGAGATCATTTATCTAAAAAGAGATTTCCAATTGGAATTATATAAATCATTTTACAAGCTTTTAAATGAGCTCAAGAATATTTTCATTTAGATCTTTCTTTATCAACTTTTCTAGTACCCAAAGGTAAAGTCCGTTTGGTTTTCGCAGAAATTGACGGCTGTCTCGCTGCGTGTGCGGCGAACCCCGCTGCAGCAAACTTTTTGCTTTTAAGAACAATAATAGAAGTAAATTTATTGAGGGTTATAGCAAATTTTATGCTGTTATTTGTTGCTCCGGGCGTGGCTCAGCGCGTCCGCCCTGCTCCTCTCCGGTGCCAGTCTTGGATCCCTCCCTGGCCTCTTCATCCGGTCAAAGTCCACGTCGACGGTTGAAGAGATGCTTCCAGCGCTTCTTCAACACTATCGTCTGGTCCATGCAAAAAAATAGCAATGGTGATGGCTGTAGTACCTGTGATAGGTCACCCTGTAGTATCCCGCGCCCAAGAACAATAATAAATTATATAACAAAAAGTATAAAACCCAACAAAAAAAAAATTCAAAGCAATTAAAGCGAATGTAAATTAAGGCCGAACTTATACTCGGATGAACTTATACTTGACACTTTAGGGTATTATATTATTTGTTTAATAATACTTTCTAAATTAAAAACTCAAAAGTTTGATTGAAAGAATTCTAAATGAAAATATTGTTTGTCAAAAAAATGTCGAAAGCCGCTGAAGAGAAAAAAAAATCCTTTCCACCAAGCTCTAAAGTGTTCTAACATTATTTTCCAAGTGCTAGATCACTTCTACAGTTGATTCTATTTGAAAAAGAGATTTTAATCTACCTTGAGGCGTGTTTGTTCTTGCAAAAAAAGAGAAAATTGAGCTTTTTTCGAATATTCATTTGATAAGAAAATCTTGCTGTTTAAGCTTTTCTATCATTATATTTTTATTGAATAATACTTCTAAAGTAAAATAACATAAGTTTAATGAAAAGAATATCTTTCTAGATGAAAATATTGTCTATCAAAAAGTGTCGGGCAGATCGGCAAAGAGAAACCGACTTGAGCTCATTTAAAAGCTTGTAAAATGATTTATATAATTCCAATTGGAAAGCTCTTTTTAGAGAAATGATGTCAAGATTAAGGGCTTTATTTTTCTATATAATACTTAAAACTTTTGTAATAAGTAATAAGTAAAAAAATCAAGTAAAGTTTGGCAGGAATTTTTCTAAAAAAGTTACCCCCATAATTCTCAGTGTATTTTATCCAACTCCAAGGCTTATCCAAGATGTAGTTTATCTCACGATTGCCCTAGTTTTTATAATGTATCCTTTGATTTTAATTTCTCAACCAAAAACAGAGAACAAGGAAAAGAAGGGGGAAAAAAATTTGTCGGTCTTTCAACCGCACAGCGTCGGGATGTTTGTTTTTGCTCGTGCGAGTGTTTGGGCAGATGCCATCTCCTTTTTTTTCTCTTATTTTCCTCATTTCTCTTGTATTCTATCTTTTTTTTTTCTTTTCTATTGTAACCCTTTTCACAGTTCTCTCTTTTTTTTATCGTTTTCGACCAGAAGCAAGAAAATGAACAAAATGCAAGAATAAACTTTAGAAGACTTTATTACCTTTATTACCTTATAGACTTTATTATCTTTATTATCTTACAGACTTTGTTAGCTTTATTACCTTAAAGACTTTATTACCTTTATTACCTTATAGACTTGATTACCTCTATTACTTTACAGACTTTATTACCTTTAATACCTTACAAACTTTATTACCTTTATTACCTTACAGACTTTATTACCTTTAATAAACTTTATTACCCTTTTCTCATTTAATTTCTTGTACTTTTTATATTAAACAAGTTCTAACAGACTTTATCTTATGTCTTAAAAAGATTTAGTATCTTGATTTCTTCAATCTTCTTCCTTTTTTACAATCCATCGAAAACAAGACCAGCGAATACAAATCGACATTTTTGTATTCAGTGATTCATAGCTTAGAGTTCAAGATTTGATTGCTTAATTGAATCAAATGTTCAACTATTTATATTTCCACCATCAAATCAAATTCCAGGATCCCTCGATCTATCACCGAGGTCAGGGGATGTCGGGGGAGGGGATGGGAATGAGTATGGGTGGACCTGGACCTCTTCCAGGTCATCCACAACCCGGAATGAACCCTCAAATGGCCGGAATGCATCCACAGGATTATAATATGACCGCCGCCCAGTATCAGGTTTGTGCTTGTTGCTCTACAGTCAGTCAGAACTTGTACTTGTACTGTTCGAGAAAGTACTTGTACCTGTAGGCAAAGTACTGTTACTGTAGTGTTAGGCAAAGTACTTGTAATGTTAGACACTGTTACTGTAGTGTTCGGCAAAGTGCTTGTACTGTTAGGTAAAGTACTATTATCCTAGTGTTCGGCAAAGTACTTGCACTGTTAGGCAAAGTACTGTTACTGTAGTGCTAGGCAAAGTACTTGTACTGTTACTGGAGTGTTAGGCAAAGTACTTGTACCGTTGGGTAAAGTACTGCTACCCTAGTGTTCGGCAAAGTACTGTTACTGTAATGTTCGACAAAGTACTTGTACTTTTAGGCAACGTTTATGCTCTAATCTTTAAGCTGAATTTAATCGAAACTTCAAGATTTACACTTAAGAATTCTATTAATAAGGCTTTTTAAAAAGAATTTCTTATTCTCTTTTAGGGCAATTACTTGATGCATCAACGACAAATGAGCTTAGCCGGTTTCCAACAACAGAGAATGGTTTATGCTCCAGGTAAACAACGATAAATATAACAAATCATTCTAGATTTTTGAAAACGAATACTTTCAGCAACCTCAGCACAAGGAATGACTTCTCCAGCTCAAGGTGTTCCCCAAACAGCAACGCCTCAACACGGAGCTATGGGCCCACCACAAATTATGCCCGCTCCACCAATGATGAGACAATTTAGTCAGGTATTATAGTTCAGGCATTGTTAGAATGAAGATGAGATGAATTTTAGCCAAATATGCCTATGCAGCACGCTCAACCGAACCCAGTGCCAAGGCCACGATCTTCGCACGCTGTCGCTGCTGCTCAAAGTCCTCAAAGTAAAGATTTAGATTTGTTTTAGAAGAGTTTATCAAACAATATCATTATCAATTGAAATCAATATCAATTTAAGAATTTAAATCGAGTCTTTCAAACTTTAGATACTCGACCTCTTCCCTCACCAATGCATGTGCCTTCTCCACTCGCCCAAGATGTTTTCACCTCCCCTAATTACCCGTCACCCATGCAAAGACTAACAAATACGCCTCAAGGTTGATTAAAGTATTTTTTTAAAAATAGAAACTACTGTAGAAGTGATCTGACACTGGGAAAGAATGTTAGAACATTTTAGAGCTTGTTGGAAAAAGATTTGAACTCTTCAAGACACAAAGGAATTAATATTATTTTAGGAACTCAACCGATGACGTCAACACATCAAACTCCTGGTGGGCCTCTATCTGCAGAAAGTAATCACTCGTCAACGCCTGGTCCCCAACATCCTCCACAACCTATGCAAACACAGACGCAACAACAACAACAGCATCAATTGGCTCAACAACATCATGTAAGCACATCAACAACATCAACATCAACAAAATCAATAAACCACATCATTTACTAGTTAAGAATATTTTAAGGTTTTTCAATTAAGAAGTTTGGCATTCTTGAAGATGTTAGGCAGTTAAGAAATCAAGTTCTTAAGTTAAGTTAAGCAGTTAAGAAGTTAAATTATTGTTAAGTTAAGTAGTTCAGAAGTAAATTCTTAAGTTAAATTAAGTAGTTAAGAAGTTAAGTTGAGCAGTTAGAAAGCTAAATTCTTAAGTTAAGTTAACCAGTTCAGAAGTAAATTCTTAAGTTAAGTTAAGCAGTTAGGAAGCTAGATTCTTAAGTTAAGTTAAGTAGTTCAGAAGTGAGTTTTTCAGTTCAAGTTCAGCTTTTCAGTTAAGAATATTTTTCAGATTCAACAAATGCAGATGCAAAGCCATCAAGCGTCACAGATGCACCCGCAAATGCATCCAAGTCAAGTGAGTTAGAAAAAGAGGCTTTAGAACAAAAGAACTTTAGAAAAACAAACAAACAAACAAACAAACAAACAAACAAACATAAACAAAAGAAACTTTACTTTACTTTTAAAGTATTTCAATTTGCAATGAGAAAGGAAAAATTGTTTTTCTTTTAACTATACAGTCGACTTTCTCTATAACAGAACTCGATATAGCGGAAAACTCTATATAACGATAGAATTTTGATCCAAGCTGACGCTCAGCTATATATAACGGTTGAAGTGATCAATGGAATGAGAAAACAATGAGAATTGATTGAAGAAAAGGCTGAAGAAGTGAAATCATTCAAATCATTAAACAAGCTTTCTTCTTTAATCGTTTACTTATGCTTAAAATTGATTCACACAATTTCTTTGCAATTACAGACTCTATAAGAGAACTCTATATAGTGGAAAACTCTATAAAACAATAGAATTTTGATCCCAGCTGGCGATCGGCTATATATAACGGTACTCTATATGAAGGAACAATTTTTTCGTTTCTTCCATTCCGTTATAAAGAGAATTGACTGTTGAGGGATGTCTATATTCCTTAATTTCATTAGTTAGGATACTCTTTATTTCCCTTTTCCTATTCCATTTCGTTATAGAGAAAGTCAATTGTGTTTCCTTTTAGCAGCAAATGATGCAGAATGCTCATCATCAGGGAATGGGCTCACCGATGCAGCAAATGCATCCGCAGATCCCTCAAATGCAGGTTTGATTTAAAAAAAACTAGCTTTGAAATATTCTTTATTATTTGAAATGTTTAGCAAATGCAAAGAATACCGGGACCAAATTTCCCGAGCTATACAAACACCGAGATGCCACCAGCTTTTCCTTTTTATATGGTCAGTTTAAAGAAATAATGCTTTGATTTTTATGATCAAAACATAATAGATCAAAATATAATAATAGAAAATGATAAATAAACTTCAGGATTTTCATGCTCGACAAGATCAAACCTTTGCTCAGCAATATTATTTAATGAGGAGACGAAATCTCACTCATGAGTATCCGAAGGGAGAAAAGGTAAAGTAGAAAACAGTACAACTACAATAGTACAACTACAATAGTACAATCACAATAGCACAATCACAATAGTACAATCACAATCACAATAGTACAATCACAATAGCACAATCACAATAGTACAATCACAATAGTACAATCACAATAGCATAATCACAATAATACAATCACAATAGTACAATCACGATAGTACAACTACAATAGTACAACTACAATAGTTCAATCACAATAGTACAATCACAATAGTACAACTACGATAGTTCAATCACAATAGTACAATCACAATAGTAACGACTACGATAGTTGAATTACAATAGTACAATCACTATGGTACAATCACTATAGTTACAATCACAATAGTACAATCACAATAGTACAATCACAATAGTACAATCACAATAGTACAATCACAATAGTACAATCACATAGTACAATCACAATAGTACAATCACAATAGTACAATCACTATAGTACCATCACTATAGTACCATCACAATAGTAGACAATAGGTTTTTAAAAAAACTCTAATAATTTCAGATTTATTAAATGCTAAAGATTTCATTCAGAAACATAACAATTTACTAAAATTTAGGGAGTGATTCCGCAAGAACCAATGACTTTCGGCTATTTGCCTGACTCACTTTTTTACAATGCACAATTGGCGGCAATAGTCCCAACTCCACCCGTTTCTACGCAAACCACATCGACAACGACGACAACGAAAGGAAAGGGTACGGCAAAAGCGCCGGCTCAGAAGAAACCACGAGCCACAGCTGCTTCAAAAAATAGAGTGAGTTGAATTTGAGCAATAGAAACAATTTTTGTCTTTATCATCGCTTTCAGGCTAACTCAAACGCATCAACAGCATCAGATCCATCAAAATTGAGCAGTCCTTGTTTCCCACCACCGGGTGGAATGTTGCCAATGGGAATGCCGCAAATGCAGCCGATGAATGGCCACATGATGGGACAGGGACCTATGGGTTTGTGAATAGAAAATAGAATATCTTGAGCTTGATAAAATTAGGTGGAATGCAAAGTCCGATGGGTGGTCCACCAATGGCAAATGGGCACGTGCCACCGGGGATGATGATGCAGCATCCTGGGGTTTGTTTTAATAAACAAAGCCTGGATTACCGTAGTTTTTGGCTGTAGACTTGGATTACTGTAGCTATGAGTGTAGCCAGAAATAGCCAGATCGTAAGCCTGGATTTTCGTCTTTAGTCGGTTACTGTAGTCTAAGCCGTAGGGATTACTGTAAGTCCAGTTTGGGCTACTGTAAGTCCGGTTTGGGCTACTGTAAGTCCAGTTTGGGCTACTGTAAGTCCATCTTGGGCTACTGTAAGTCCAGCTTGGGCTACTGTAAGTCCGGCTTAGGCTACTGTAAGTCCGGCTTAGGCTACTGTAAGTCCGCTTGGGCTACTGTAAGTCCGGTCTTGCTACTGTAAGTCCTTCCTGGGCTACTGTAAGTCCGGGTTGAGCTAATGTAAGTCCGACTTGGGCTTTTAAGCTGAGCCAATTGTAGTGACTGTGGGCAGGCTGTGAATTAGTTGTAAGCCTACGGTATTCTTGAGTTTAAAATTCATTCAGATGATGGGTGGAATGATGGGACCTGGCGGGCAACCGATTGGTCCAATGGGGATCCCTCTAGGCTCCCCCTCCTCTCATCCATCCCCTTTCATGAACCAAATTCATCCACAACCACCCCAACACGCACAACATCAAATGAACAAAAAGGTAAAAACATAACAAATACTTTGTGAAACGGATTCTCAGCCTGACTTTTCCCCAATCACCCCAACCTCAACGAGTAGTGAGATCAAGCAAGAAGATATGGATGGTGAGTTAATAGATTAGTTTTTAGATCTTTTCAAATGCAAAATTTAGTTCAACAAGGCTACCCTCAACAAATTCAACATCAAAATGGTAGACTGCAAGTAATCAAAACAGAGTATGACTCGATGAGTGGACAAGGATTCGGAGATTTTAATGGGGTTAGTTTTTCAAAATAGATAGAGATTCCTGTAAGAAATTGGTAAAGAGTTTCTCATTTAATTGTTTTAGACAATGCGAGTCTTCGAGGGAGATTCGGGGAGCCTGTGTTGTGCAGGTTGTGGTGGAAGAATCACGGTTCGGCTTTTCTCACCTTGCACACTTGAGCGTTGAGCACTTCATTCTTTGATTTGATTAGAATTTTGCACTTGCAGCATCTTTAGCTACAGTAATCTAAACTAGGAAACTTGCAGCATCTTTAGCTACTGTAGTCTATAGCTACTGTAGTCTATAGCTACTGTAGTCTATAGCTACTGTAACCTAAAGTAGTAAACTTGCAGCATCTTTAGTTACTGTAATCTTTAGCTACTGTAATCGTTAGCTACTGTAGTCTTAAGCTACTGTAACCTTTAGCTACTGTAGTCTATAGCTACTGTAGTCTATAGCTACTGTAATCGTTAGCTACTGTGATCGTTAGCTACTGTAACCTTTAGCTACTCTAATCTTTACCTACAGTAATCTTTAAGCACAGTAGCTGAGGTCTTAGATCTGAGCAAAGAATGAAGATTCATCAAACACCACTTTCCTGTGCTTCTTTTCACTTGAAAGCAAGCAAAATGTCAATGATGAATTTCCAGGAGAACGATCCCAACGTGAAATGCTGTGGGGACAATAATTGTGGACAAAGTTATCATCAGGTTACAAAAATTATTAAAATTAAAAAGTGTCAAAGCGTAAAATGAATCAAAATTGAAATCAAAAGCATTTTACCAATGAAACCAATGAAAAACAATGAAAAACAATGAAAAAAACAAAAACAAACAAAAACAACCAATAAAAAAACACTTTAGAAATGCTCAAAATTGAGCGATAAAGCGTTCACGATGTTAAAATCGGAGATGCAATGCGAGTGGATCTGTGATCGATGCTTTTTGCGACATCACCCGGATCAACATGTTTTCCCGTCTCCAATTATCACTTAAGTCTACAATAATAGCCTTAAAAGTACCGTAAAAGATTTGAAAATCGATAAAAATCTGAAACCTAAACTTTCTGGTGTACTGTAGAGTCAAAATTTTCATTAAGAATAGCAAAATGTCTACACCAGAAAGAGTGTGTTTCGGTGAGTGCAAAGTGCACTGAATAGAAATGACTTTCTTTGGAGTGGGACAAATGCGACCTTTTTTTTTGCGCACCCGGACATTTGCGCACCTTTTTTTCCGCACCTTGCCCATTAGCGCACCTTTTTTCGCGTTTTAAAAAAGCTCTAAAAGCTAATATTAACGAATTTCTATTCCAAAAGTTGTTTTTCTAGGTAATTTTAGGGCGTAGAATCGAAATTTTGACATATCAGCGCTTGTGGAAGTGAACAGACGGAGTTATACAAAGAGAAAAATCGATAATCGATATATCGACAATTTTCTGTAATTTGATCTAGCTGTTTTGTCTTTCAAATTGGTTCCACACGCTCTGTTATGTCAAAATTTGAATTCCAAGCCCTCAAATTACCTAGAAAAACAACTTTTGCAATAGAAATTGGTTAATATTAGCTTTTTAGAGCTTTTTTCGAAAAAAGGTGTGAAAAAAAGGTGCGCTAATGGGCAAGGTGCGGAAAAAAAGGTGCGCAAAAAAAAAGGTCGCATTTGTCCCGCTCCCGATTTCTTTTCTGTAAACCAGAATCCAAGCCACCCCTTCATCCCTCAAATATCTTTTTTTTTTTTTTCTTCTTTTTTTATTGATCTCACTTGATTTATTTTATATTTATTTTATTCAAAAAATGCTCGACGAATGAGTACAAAGTTCAGAAAAAATTAGAACAAACATCGGATGAATTTTCTCGTTCTCGTTTTTTACTTTACATTCAGTTTATTTTTAATCCGGTTTCCTTTATTTTCATTGAATATTCTATTTGAAAGGCCTTTATTTTGCGTGAAAGGAAATTTGCATTTAAAGGAAAGCTAGGTTAGGCCATATATAGTTCTACATAAGACAGTTGCTTTATATAGCTAATTTACAGTACTCTTTGGTTACACTAGCTATGCTTGAGTGAAATTATCCTTGGAGATAAGCTGAGAAGTTGGAATTAAGGTAGAACAAAAACTCATGCGCTGCCGGGACTCGAACTTACGACCTTTCGCTTACCAGGCAACTGTGCTAACCATTACACCAAGACGCACCTTGCTCTAGAGGGAATTAATTCGCTCCTCTTTGGAAGTTAACTCCCTCTAGAGTAATGGAGACCAAGTGCGTTTTGATGTAATGGTTAGCACAGTTGCCTGGTAAGCGAAAGGTCGGGGGTTCGAGTCCCGACGGCGCAAGGCTTTTTGATCTGTCATAGTTCCAACCGGCGGTCACGGAAGGATGGGCTCTGCAATGCTGGCTAAGGTCTTCATATCTAGTTTAGAGCGCACTTCAGGTCTACAAATCGAGGCCTGTGGAACCGTCTCGTCCAGAGAGGAGGAAAGTTAACATCCTCTGGAGTGAGCCCGACCAAGTGCCTTGTGGTGTAATGGTTAACACAGTGGCCTGGTAAGCGGCAGGTCGCGGGTTCGAGTCCCGGTGCTGCACAGATTTTTGATTTTGATAGTTCGAACTGGGTACAGTGGCTTAGTTCTAGTACCTTAGATTATGCTTGATTGAATTACAGTAAGCCTGTAGCTACAGTAAGCCTGTAGCTACAGTAAGCCTACAGCGGCTTGAAATTTGATAGACTTGGAGATTGATAAATGAGTAAACTAGTTTAGTGAATGACTTGTCCACTTTTCGGTACAGTAGTCTTTCAAATTCAAATTAGACTTTGAAATTGAATTTCAAATTGACATTCAAAGCCTTTCGAATTCAAATTACGTTACAGTATTGTTTTTTGAATGCAAATTCGGCTTTTCATCCAATCTCCACTCGATTCAATAACTTTTTTTTGCTCCAAACAAACTGCTTTTCATTTTTTTTTGTTTTCACTTATGTACACAGAAAAAATACTCAAAATTTTGTGTTCTTCTTTTCTTTTTTTTTTTTAATTGTTTAATTGAATATCTTTAAAGATATCAATTGAATATCTTTAAAAGAATTTCTCATAAAATTTACCCCCACTTTTCCCTACTTTCATTCGTTTAAGACGGGTTTTTTAAGATGAAAAAGAAAACAAAAAAAGATTTTTCTTCTTTTATTATTATTTTTCAAAACTTTTCACATGATTTCATTTTCAGATTTCATTCAGATTTTATTCTTTAAAATCTCTGCCCAATGTGCTATTGCTCTTACAGTTTTTTTCTTTCTTTTTTCTTTGTTTTCTCTTTTTTCCTGTTTTTCCTCCTCGATCAATGCATTTCACTCGTCGAATTTATTTTTTACACTTTTTTTTTCTTAAAATCTCTCTAGGCAAAAGTAAATTTATGAGATAAAAGAAAAGTTTTAAAGGTTTAAAACACATCAAACAAAAAAAAAGAGCATCAAACAAGAGCATTAAACAAGAATAATTTGAATAACGATTGAATAACTAAGCTTTCCTTCTAATTTTATCTAATTTTCCAAATTTGCAAACTTTAGTTACACAGATAGACTCAAAATTTTTGATCTTAAATCTCTTAGACACCGCCGCTTGGTCACTGATTTAATAGAATGTTTCAAAATTGTAAAGGACGGGCAAGCTATCCCTCTTTTTCGAGATTGATTCAAAGTTAATCCCACGGTTAGTTCAAGGAGAAGTTCTTTCGTTTTAGAAATTCCAGTCACCTCAAATCCCGTATTCTCTCTAATAGTAGTGCACCCCGCCGAGTTGATCACTATTTTACGGGTTTTCCAGCTTTTGCAGAAGCTCAATACTCAAATCCCCCACTAGATCTCATCGTCAGCTACATTTTCCGACCCCACATCGATAGGTTCTGATAAGTGCTTTTTGAGATTTCGAGCAATTTAGGCAAAGCTCTGGAGAAACTACTATTAGAGAAAATACGGTATCTTATTTAAAACCTTTACCAACTTGTAAACAAATCCTAATTATGATTCTATTGATTATTTGAATCTCTATTGCTTCTATTCGCCTCTGAATAAAGCATACCGTATTTTCTCTAATAGTAGTGCACCCCCGCGAGCCGAGTTGATGACTATTCTACGGTTTCCAAGCTTTTTCAGAAGCTCAACACTCAAATCCCCCACTAGATCTCATCGTCAGCTACATTTTCCGACCCCACATCGATAGGTTCTGATAAGCGGTTCTCGAGATTTCGAGGAATTTAGGCAAAGCTCTGAGTGCACTACTATTCGAGAAAATACGGTACACATAAATTCATCGAAATAGATCACTTTTTTTTCGCACATTCTCTAGAAAACTTTATCAAAGGTATTTTAATATATTTTCTTCAAAGAATCTTTTGTTTTATCTAGTTTTGTAGTGAAGAAAAGCTTTAAGATCAAAAATTCAACGTCAAAACGAATCAGAGTACGAATCAGATAATTATCTTCAAAAAAATTGAACAGATTTCGTGCAAAAGTGTGCTGTTTTAAGTCAAATTCTTGCTTTTCAATGATTTGAAAAGAAGCTTTGCTCTTTTTTCTTTGTTCTAACCCAGTCTAAACTTCAATTTGATAACGGAGGGCAAATAAAAGGTGAAAGCAAAGCAAAGCACTGAAAACAAGAAATTTTATTTTTGAAATACAAATTTTTATTCTTTTTTCAACTACGAATTCAGGTAATCCAATCAATTTGCGATTTTTTAAAGTCTAAATTTTTTAATCAAAATACACTCAAGTACACTAGAAAACATTTTGCTGTTGAACTCAAAAAAAAGAAAAAGAAAAAAACCAATTCCAAGGCCAGAGTCAAGAAAATGATTTTGTCAAAAATCATTCAAGGTCAAAAAAGTTATCATTTACTTTTTCAGGGGAAATTCGTGCATTGCTTGCTCTCGTGATTAGGGCAAAGATCTATTCAATCGTGTGATCATTGAGTTTTTTCGAAATTCTTTTAAATTCACATCATTTTGTCAACCTTTGACATCTACAATCATCATTTATAAGCTATCATTTGATTGGTTCAGATGTATTAGATATACACCTGGTTGATTCGGCACGATAATCGCAATTCGGCATACAATACTAGGCTATAGCTTCACTTAACCCACGCCTACATTCATGGCTCTACTCTTACTGTACTCTCAATCCCTAACGATCCCTAGATCATTGAGATTTCTCGAAATTCTTTTAAATTCACATCATTTTGTCAATCTTTTAAATCTACAATCATCATTTATCTTGGGTCATATTTATAAGCTATCATTTGATTGGTTCGGATGTATTAGATATACCACCAGGTTGATTCGGCACGATAATCGCAATTCGGCATACAATACTAGGCTATAGCTTCACTGAACCCACGCCTATATTCATGGCTCTACTCTTATTGTACTCTCAATCCCTGACGATCCCTAGATGGCTTGTTATGGTGAAGAGAAGGTGGAGATTGGATAGGCTTCTCGCATTAAGGATCTAGGCGGAATCGAACCCGAGACAGAGACAATGATTTCTAGTTTCAGAGACAGTCACACTGGCATTGCGCCACTCTGGTGCTTCGACACACAAAATACTAGGCTATATCTTAACTAAACAAGCTAGTTAATAGCTGATTGTGAACAAGCTATCACTTAACTAAGCAAGTTATATCTTAATTAAACAAGCTATCTCTTAACTAAGCATGCTAAATCTTAATTAAACAAGCTAGTTAATAGCTTATTGTGAACAAGCTATCACTTAACTAAACAAACTATCTCTTCACTAAGCACGTTACATCTTAACTAAATCTTAACTTGTAAGCTGTATCTTAACTTATCTATGTAAAATGACCATTTTCGATTAGAATTTAGTTATGTACGACAATTTTGAGTTAAAATTAAGCTTACAAAAAGCTTACCCCTTTGAAAATCTAGGTAATAGCTTATTGTGAACAATCTTTTGACCTTTTATCTTTTACTTGACCTTTTAGTGCTTACAATTTACTTTATTTGTTTATTAATATAAATATTGGGTACTTGTCGGTAATACTTACACAAAGACTCATCTTGATTAAGCATCCCCATGCGAGTCTTCTCGGTTATCGATTTTCGTTCGACTGATCGACTGATCACCAAACTGGCTTTGAAACAATCCTGATAAAATAGAGGGTACTTGTCGATTATCCATCCACAGAGACTCAACTCGGTTAAGCAAGAAGCACTCTACTTCACTGAAGATAATCACCGCTCACAAGTTGTCAGCTTCTTGCTTAACCGAGTTGAGTCTCTGTGGATGGATAATCGACAAGTTCTAAATATTGTATAGTTTTTCCCTGGTTCAATCCGAGTTTAAACAACTTAGAAATCGATTTTGTTTTGAACCTTTCTTGACTCTCAAATTTGAGAAATTCAACTTGAAGGCTGTTCAAAAAACGCGAAATTTCTCTTTTCTTCTTTTTCATATTTCTTTTCCAAACATTTTCCACCTTTTCGATGAGCTAATGGAAAAAAAAAACTTTTAAGTTTCAATGATTTCAGTAACCGAACAGATTTTTGTTCTTTTTCTTTTTCTTTTCCATTTCCCACTTCAATGTCGGAAAATAAACAGAAATCTTTTGATTTTTTTGAATAGGTTTTCCTTCTCTCTCTCTCTCTTTTCGTATAAAGATCAACTCTGTTTTTCTGAGTTTAGTACTTATTTCAACAGTGAATTCACAAAATTTCTGAAATTTCTGAAATTTCAGAAATTTTAGACAAAAATCTTATGATTTATCAAATTCATTGCTATTTTTGATTTAAATTTTGATTCTATTTTGATTCTATTTTGATTCTTGACCTTTAGCCTAACAATTTTAACCTTTAAAAAAACAATTTTAACCTTTTTAACCTCTCTAACAAATTTTTCATTAAATTTAAAACTTTCTTCAATTTCTGTTAAGTCCTTTTCTTTGGAAAAAGAAAGCTCCTTTGAAGCTCTTTTAAAGCTCCTTTAAAGCTCTTTTAAAGTTCCTTTAAAGCTCCTTTAAAGCTCTTTTAAAGCTCCTTTAAAGCTCTTTTAAAGTTCCTTTAAAGCTCTTTTAAAGTTCCTTTAAAGCTCTTTAAAGCTCCTTTAAAGCTCCTTTAAAGCTCTTTTGAAGCTCCTTTAAAGCTCTTTTAAAGCTCTTTTAAAGCTCCTTTAAAGCTCTTTTAAAGCTCTTTTAAGCTCCTTTATAGTTCCTTGCTTGTTTTTTTTGTTAATTTCTTTCAAAAAACTGAAACTTTTAGATCAAAATCAAAATTGGAATCAATTTCTACATTTCAAATGTTTCCCTTATCATTTCTAATCATTATTTTAATCATATACTATTTGATTGTATACTATAAAAACGTGAGCCGATTGCCAAAAGGACCAACACCATTGCCGTTGATTGGAAATGCTTTACAAGTCAGTTTACCCTTCTTTTTCTTCTAAGAAATCAAATTTTTAAATAATTTCTTATATTTATACTTTAGATTGATGCTGGTGAAATCAATAAATCGTTGGCAAACTTCTCGAAAACTTACGGTGATGTGTTCACCGTTTATATTCCTCGCCCAGTTGTGTTCATCATGAATTATGATTTGATTAAAGATGCATTCACGACAAGAGGTTATTAACTACTCCAAAGTCTATAGAAATTCTATAGAAATACATTTATTTCATATAATTTGATATAAACAATAAAAAAAACCCTTAAATAAAGGAAAAAGGAAAAATAATCTAGCAAGTGGGATTGAACCATCGAACCCTCTTGCCCGTCGTCGACTAAGATACAAGGCCCTTAGCCAGTCAGCCATGACGACAACTGAGCACCCCACAGAATATCTAGTATTTGATGGCTGAATACCTCTATCAGTTCAACAAAAAAGAAATTTCGGGACCATCAAGGCTGTGTAAAAAAGAAAATTCTCGCCGAATGGAATTGCCATTCACCAACGCCTTCGCTTTGTGCAAGTCTGATATCAAAATCTAGCTTTTCAATTGGGCTACACAATGGTATAAAAAACTTTTCAAAAAACTCTTGTTTAGTACAAGAAAAATGGCCGCAAAGTGGCACTAGCACTACGCACCCATACAAAAGACGGTCGTTATTGTTCCCCGATACTCTCTTTCAAAGAGAAATGGCCGCAAAGTGAGAGCACCGACTGTACACCGACTAATAACGACCGTCTTTTGTATGGGTGCGTAGTGCTAGTGCGGATTCCCCCTGCGGCCACTTACTAAACAAGAGTTTTTTGAAAAGTTTTTTTTAGAGCATCATGTAGCCAAATTGAAGAGCTAGATTTTAAGATAGCTCTTCAATTCTCGCACAAAGCAAAGGCGTTGGTGGATGGTAATTTCAGCGCAATGTGCATGGCCGCAAAGAGAATTTCAGCTCAATGTGCATGGCCTTCAAATTTCTGTGTTTTGTGTTTAAATCCTAGGTTTTGATTTCATCGGTCGATCGGGAATGTTCCCCGATACTCTCTTTCAAAGAAAAATGGCCGCAAAGTGAAAGCACCGACTGTACACCGACTAATAACGACCGTCTTTTGTATGGGTGCGTAGTGCTAGTGCCACTTTGCGGTCATTTTTCTTGTACTCACCAAGAGTTTTTTGAAAAGTTTTTTATACCATTGTGTAGCCCAATTGAAAAGCTAGCTTTTGCTATCAGACTTGCACAAAGCAAAGGCGTTGGTGGATGGTAATTTCAGCGCAATGTTTATGACCTCGTGTGTTCAAATTTCTGTTTTTAAATTCTAGGTGATGATTTCATCGGTCGATCGGGAATGTTCCCCGATACTCTCTTTCAAAGTACTCCAAACGGAGGCGTCATCTTTTCGGAGGGGATCAAATGGAAAGAGAATCGGTGAGTGCAAAGAATAGAAGCAAAAAAAGCAATGGAAAACATTACACATTCACAATTCAAATCCTGTAGTATCATCGATTTTCATTAGATCATAGATCATAGATCAATAATTTATAAAAACAGCAATAATAAAACCAGTATAGTAAACAATCAATCCCGTTTGAAGCCGATTTTCAGCGCGATCCAAGTGTAGAGGCAGTCGATGAGAAGTAGGATGATTGAGAAGAGTGGAATGATTGAGAGTGGAATGATTGAGAGTGGAATGATTGAGAGTGGAATGATTGAGAGTGGAATGATTGAGAGTGGAATGATTGAGAGTGGAATGATTGAGAGTGGAATGATTGAGAGTGGAATGATTGAGAGTGGAATGATTGAGAGTGGAATGATTGAGAGTGGAATGATTGAGAGTGGAATGATCGATAGCAAAATCTAAAACAAACGAATAAAGAAGTTGTTGAACGACTTTAGTATAGTAAAGCGAATTAACCTACCACATTGCCTTGATGAGGGATCCTTTGTTGAAGCGCGTTTTCATCAAGTGCCGTTGAAACTGATTTGGATTAAATACTCATTTGTTATAATTTTCAGACGAATCTCTCTTCAAATCCTTCGCGATTTTGGTATGGGCAAAAATTTGATGGAGGAACTAGTAAGAAACTCGATTTTCATCAAGAATTTCGAAATTTCTAGGTAAAAGATTGTTTTTTTGATATGGATAAGTACATTCGAGAGATGCCAAACAGGAAAAATGGTGTCAACTTGAGGATGCCATTACAGGTGAAATAAAGGAACATATTTATTGAAGGAAATTAACAAAAACAAAATTATTCTCCTTCATTTTGCGATAATATCCGTTGTTGATCGGGTTTTGGCTGTAATTGAATCATAAAGATTTGCGACTTTTGCTTACATTTGTTTCGCTCTTGCGATTCTCTGGCGCCGTCTTTGCGAATAATCGTCTAAGCGGTCCTGAGTCGAACTCGTCGATGTCAGTTGGCATCTAGAAGTGTGATAGGCGTAGGCTTAGGTTTAGGCTTAGGTTTAGGCTCAGGCTTGGACTTAGTGCGAAGGCTAGCGGCTAGCGCCTAGCACTAAGTCTATTTGGGTTTGGGCTATACCCCCAATTTCCGGATCTCAGCTTAGGCTTAGGCTTTGGCTTAGGCTCAGGCTCAGGCTTAGGCTTAGGCTTAGGCTTAGGCTTAGGCTCGCACTAAGTCCAAACCTAAGCCTATTTGGGTTTAGACTCAACCCCGATTTTCTGGATCTCGGCGAGTTCCTAGAGCTTAAGCGCTTGGCGATGCTTATTGGAGCCTTAGGAGAGTATTCTGGCAAATTTTCAGGTCTCTGTCATGTCTAGAATATATAGAAAGTTGTTTAGACTTTGGCTTAGGAAAAATATCAAAGAATACGAGATTTTAAATAGAAATTACAAGGAAATGAATAGAAATTTTGATTTTAATGATCATCAATCATCATCAAATCATCAACCAATAAAGTTGTTAAAAGTGAACATTCTTTTTGAAAAGCGGGTTAGAATAAGCTTTTATTTGAAACGGAGAACTCTCAACTGTTTAAACCTAAAAAGCAGAAGAAAAAGGCGAACCAAGGACTCGAACCAGAGACTCCTAGCCTCATATTCTAGCCCACTACCACTCGGCCACTACTGTCCCTTAAGGTCTCTGAGAGATTTGCTTATAAACTGGATATGCTTTTTGAAATCTCATCTAAAACTTTGAAGGCTTATAACTTTTGACTGAGTGCTCCATATCAGAAACGGAAAGCAGATTCGGAATGAGCGTAAAATTCTGCATCAAACGAAAGCTGAAGATCTCCTCTGCATTTTGGAATAAACAAAAAACTCTACGTCTGTAACTCCCTTGTCTTTGAGTTTAAACTATTAGTGTTGTGCATTTTTTGAAAGCTCTTTTCAAGGGCTACACGACGGTAATATTAATATTTAGAAATACGGTAAAGACAAGGGAGTTACAGACGCGCGAAAGTGACGATCGTTTTTTCAAATATGATATTTCATTGTCCAGTAGTGTAGCTAAAGCCTATTCAATGCAAAAACCCCCAAACCTTTTTCCCTTTTGTTTCTGGAATCAACAAAACACAACCAGCAGCCAAAAATGAGGCCAATGTCATCACCAAAGCTGGCGCATTTCTATCCCAAGCTTCCTAAATTTGCTTATTTCTCTCTCTCTTTCCTCAAACTCACTAATCGTTTAATATACGGTGCCAAAACGGATCCAACATCGCCCAGAAAAGAAACAAGTCCAGTAAAAGTATTTCTAAAAAAAAAACTCTGTCTTTCCTATTCGAACATTTGATACAGTTCCGCTCTTTTACCATTGTCTAACTTTAAACTCAAATTTCTTGGTGTTGAGTTATCCAATTAAAACATTTCTTGATCTCATTAGATGCGCCAAAACTTTCTCTATCGATTGGTACAAAAATGTTATATTGAACAGCAGAACCAGAGAAAATTTGAGCTTAAAGTTGGATTGCTTGATGGAAAGGAGGCGAAGCGATGAACCTTTTATACGTGCCCCGCCCCCTTTTGCCATTGGAAATCCAACTTTAAGCTCAAATATCTTGGCTTTGAGCTATCGAATTTCAATATTCTTGATCTCATTAAATGCGCCAAGTCTTTCACTATCGATTGGTAGAAAAACTATTTAAATTGAACAACCCAACACCAAGAAATTTGGGCTTAAAGTTGGATTGCTAATGGGAAAGGGGGCGGGGCGACGGACCTTTTATACGCGCCCTGTCCCCTTCTGCCATTGGCAATCCAACTTTGAGTCTAAATTTCTTGGTGTTGGGCTATCGAATTTCAATATTCTTGATATCATTCGATGCGTCAAATCTTTTTCTGTCGATTGGTACCAAAACATATTTATCTTGAACAGCAGAATCAGAAGAAATTTGAGCTTAGAGTTGGATTGCTAATGGGAAAGGAGGCGGGGCGATGGACCTTTTATGCGTGTCCCGCCCCTTTTGCCGTCGGCAATCCAACTTTGAGTCTAAATTTCTTGGTGTTGGGCTATCGAATTTCAATATTCTTGATATCATTCGATGCGTCAAATCTTTCTCTGTCGATTGGTACCAAAAACTATTTATATTGCACAGCAGAATCAGAGGAAATTTGAGCTTAAAGTTGGTTTGCTTTATCACTTGCCTCACTGTAGTTGGGGCAAGTTCGGAAGCGACAAGTGGGGTAACAGCCCAGATCATTGTATTAAATACCTTGCAGGCTAGTGGGAAAATCATTAAAACGCTTTTCGAGCCTAAAAATAGATAACATTGGATTGAGAACCATCCTGTTAATTTTTTTTCTCATTCTGCTTTTAAAATATTGACTAGAAGAAGACTATTGCACATTTACAAATGCAAATATCTAATACTTACTTTTTCAAACATTTAAAATTACCTCAGCTAAAGCAAAAGCATCTAAAGATCAGCAAAAGCAATCTAAAGTAATACCTGGGATGTAAATCGCTGCTAACATTGTTAGCCCTTGAAGAGTAAACCCACAAGCAGCCACAGCTCTTCTCGGAAATTTTATCAAAAGCCAAGTTCCAAGTAAACCTAAAATATGACTTTTTCAAATATTTAAGTTAAAAGGTCAAGCTTTTTTTTGATCTGTTTTCGCACTCAGGTGTTCCTACTTGCGCAGATCACCACCTGCTTCCACATTTCTCTATCCCTTGCTATTGTTATCCAGTGTTTCCTAGCTTGATTGTTCCTGGTTCGAAGTCTTCGACTTGCTGATGGTGGTTGCACTCTAGCCATCCTTTCTCTGGCCGTCTCTGCCACTCTTGTGCTCCACCTCGTTGCTGGTCTTCCGATGGGCCTCTTCTGGTCTCGTGGTAGCCACTCTGTGATCCGTATCGTCCATCTGTCGTCTGTTCTTCTCGCTACGTGGCCGGCCCATCTGAGTCTTTTTCTCTCAATCACTTCCACTGGATCTCTGAGTCCCGAGAGCTGGCCAATATCCGTACTTCTTAGGTCTTGGTCGAGCTGTTCTTATTGTACCCGAGGATGTTCCTTTCAAGGGCTCGATGCGTCGTTCTCAGGGCTCGTTCAGCGGTCTTTGTCGTGGCCCAGGTCTCTGTCAGGTCAAGCTGAGCAGACCTGACAGAGACCTGCCAAGAGGTTAAGCTGATCACGGTCAGGCATGGTCAAGCTGAGCTTGACCTGCCAAGAGGTCAAGCTTTTAAACTTAAATTTACCTCCTGGTAGCTCTACAATGCCGGATAAGAAAAAGCCAGTCATCTTGTCTTCCGATAGATCAGTCGAGAACAATGACAGTGCCCAATATGTACCATTCATCACTATACTGAATTAGCTAAATCAAAAGAAAAACATTGATTAAACTTACAAAACGATTGAGTTTAAAAAGAGTTGCAGTAGAAGTCCTTTATGTCGGAAAATGTCGAGAACAGTTCGATTTGGCCTGTTTATCGGTTCCTTGTTTTCGTGCCTTTCTCCGTTTGATGTTCGACATTCCTCGAGTGAGACTTTCACTCCATTAAAGCGATTTGCCTTTTGAATGTATCTAAAATCATTATAGTCAGCCGTAAATCATCAGCCTCTCACTTCTCGACCGCTTTATAATTGTCTTTTGTTGTTAACCAGTGAAGTGATTCGGGAATGAACCTAATTGAGTTTTTTTTGTCGCTTTTAAGGCATTTATATTACCAGAAAAGTGGAATTGTTAAGATTCCAGGAATTGAGGTGATAAAATAAAGCCATCTCCAATCAGCGATGAACAATCGGAACACTCCGGATAGAAGATAGCCAATGACCTAAACAATCTAGTACTTATTATTGTCATTGATTAATCTCATTGCTTTAATTTCTTTCATTGTAGATAGATTGTACCAATTATTTACCCAAACAATAGCTGGTAACGCTGGAAGTAAATTTCGAAACGGGGTTGAAACAGACTCCGTGCAAAGGACAAACGCTGTGTGGAAAAAACCCTAGAAGTTTAGAAGTTTAGAAGTTAGTCTTGAAGTTTATCTTGAAGTTTATTTTCAACTTACTGTTGATCCAAATCCAGCTAAGAAACGTAGAATTAGAAATAGTGAATAAGAGGGGACAAAAGAAGCGATTAGATTGCAAGTGACTGATAGATAAAGTGGGAGGAGAAAGGTGGGACGACGACCGATTCGATCGGAGAGTTGAGTGATCAGTGGAGCGGCCAGCATTCCGCCTAGATGGTCAAATGATTAGTAAAACTATTCCTGTTATTTTTCAGTTATCTTTACAAAAATGATGAGATTGAATTTACCAAAGAGATAGATTGATGAGGCATGCTCGGTTAGCTCGTAGTCGTCACATAGAAGATTGAACTAAAACTGGATTAGTTGAGTAGTTTTCTATGTCAGTTATCTAGAGTTCTTGAAAATACTTTATATTCCTAGCTAGGGCTGTTCTAAAGTGGTCAAGGCTTAAGCAAAAACCAAGTAAAGCCAAGTCTTGCTTTGCTTACAATTAGCCTGGGTTTTGCTGCCAATCAAAGCTAAGCTTGGCATTCTGTAACATTTCACCTTGTTCAAAATTAACATTTTCTTACAAGATGTTACTGGAAAGCCAGCTATAGAAAGCCGGCTATGAAAGCCGGGTATAGAAAACCAGCTATAGAAAAGCAGCTATGGAAAGCCAGCTATAGAAGAAAGCCAGCTATAGAAAGCCAGCTATGAAAGCCAGCTATAGAAAACCAGCTATGGAAAGCCAGCTATGAAAACCAGCTATGAAAGTAAACAAAACTTTAAAAAGCCAGCTATGATTTACATTGGAAGTAGTTGTTGGTCACTAGGGATAACAAAGAAGGGAGAAGGGATAACAAAGGCTTCTCTCGCTCGACAGCGTTATGAGCTGGTGGCGTGGATAAGAGGCCCGAATACGAGGCGCGCCATGCACTTTTGCTTAAGCTTCGAGTCTTTACCTGGCAATTCTGTTTTACTGGGGAACTTGCCCAACCATAAATTTCGTGGGTTTAAAAACATGAACTCTTTAGTTTAAGATTGAATTGAAGTTTATGACTTTAAGACTTTAAGATATCTTTAACTTTAACTTTAAGATAAATCCGAGAATAATCCTTTAGATAATCAGCTCTTGTTTATAGAATTTTACTTCTCAAACCCCCAATAACAATTCCGCTTTCTGTCTGATCCTTTTGTTTACGAGAATTCTCTTATTTCACCTCTGAGGCTAACGATTGATGAACAGTGGAATTAAAGTCATATCGAGTGCCTCTAATCTCTGTGCATTTGAGGCTCTTATTTGCTGTGTCAATCAAGGTACACGAATCGATTGATTGATAGTTCTGAAAAAGAGCTTTAAAATAGAATAAACATGTATGAGAAGAAGAAATGAAATGATGAAATGATGAAATGATTATGAAATGATTACGGCTTTGTCGAGATTGTCTGGCAATTGGCAATAGAATTCGGGTTTCTCAACGATAAATGGCATCACCATCATGTTCATTGCAAAGAGTATCGTGACACTGTTTAACATGAAATAGGTGAACATCTAGAAGTTTGGTATTAATAAAACAGATCTGACTTCTTAAGCTTTGAGAGTTTGATGGCTTTGATTTAAAGTCTGAAATCTTTAAACAAACCTTTAAACAACAATATAGCTCTTAGACTCAACGTAGAGCAACTTTCTAACTTCAAATTAATCCTTTAAGTTAATTATACTTTAAAAGAATTATCTAGGGCTTGAATCTTAGCTTTGTTTGTTAGCAAAAACTCATTTAAGATTCATTCTCAAAGCTTTGTAAAAGTTATTGGAACATTTAAGTTTAAAATTTAAACAAACTAATTGCTTTTTAAAGCTGGATTCGAAGCTTTAATTGTTTATGAACAAAATTTAAGCGTAAACCTTGTTGATTAACTACTAGATCTTTCCCAAAAAAGCTATTTTTCACTCACTTGATATCTCCCAAATTTCCCATATGCGTTCAATACTTTATCCGCGTCGAGATTATGATAGTGCTGCAACGTTGACAACTTTCTTGGCATTGGCAACACTTCTAACGATTTCGCTTCCTCCATTTTTCGTCTTTAAAAAAAAATCTGAGGAGAACGGTGTGAAATTAAAGTTGTTGAAGTGAAAAAAAAAGAGAAAAAGCACGGGTTGAATGAGTCTGATAAGGAAAAGATTCCTATTTGAGGAAAGGAAAGAATTGAGGGCAGGGAAAAAAAGACAAGAGAAAAGACAAAACACAGAACAGATCAGCATTTCCCTTTGAGGGCGACAATCCCCGTGTAATCAGTGGGGTTCTGGCCTCTTTCTCTCACTCATCACTCCATTTTAAGCTTTTTGTTGAAAAGTTTTCTTGAGTAATTCCATTGTATTCTTGACGAAAGTGCAAAAGAAATGTGATTAAGGAAGTTTAAAAGTCGGAGGAATTGAAAAAAGAGCTAGCACATAATCAGAGTAAATTTCCACGTCCTAATGCAAAGTTCTCAATCGCAAATGTGCTCATTAATGAGTAGATAATGAACTTAAACCATTGCTTTGGCGATTGCTTTGGCATTGCTTTGGCGATTGCTTTGGCGATTGCTTTGGCATTGCTTTGGCATTGCTTCAATCTGAACTCTTCCGATTCGATTCCAGATTCTTTACAAAATTCTGAGTACCATTATCTTGTGTAATTCTTTTTTATTCATAAAAAGCGTCCGGAACAATGATCTATCGCGGCAGAGACGTTTTCGAAGTCTCTGTCGATGAGAAAACCGATCATTTTGTTATGCACTGTAATAAAAAGAATCTTGTTTAATTGTACGGTTTTTTAGATTTTCATAAATACTTTTAGATCTTTGTCGCTAACATCATTCACCAAACTCTCTTTGGTCATCGCTATCCTTTTCAAAAAGATTCTGTTTTGATGAACTTTGCCGATCGAATTGTTGAGGTGAGGCATTGATTTAAAGGAAAGTTCAAGATCAAATCAAATCAAGTTTAGCTTTTCGAAACAGTTCGTGGCTCGAAATGGACCTTTGTTGCCGGTACATTCCCATGGGTAGCCGATATTCCTTTAATCGGAGATTATGCAGTTCACAGACATTTCCGCAAATTACAGCCAGTTAGTTTTCAATTCAATTTCAAATTTCCATAATTTCAAAGAGAAATTCATTTATTTAGTTCAAAGACTATTGCCAAGATGAATCAAAAAAATGTATGGAAGGATACTCGATTGATCAAGAACCATCATGCTTTGTGCAGGCGTATGTGCAAAAAATGCAGAATAACGAAGCTGTGAAGTAAGTGACAGAACAAATCAGTTAACCCCCTCTAGAGTAAGCGAGATCGAGTGCCTTGTGGTGTAATGGTTAGCACAGTGGTCTGGTAAGCGGCAGGTCGCGGGTTCGACTCCGGGCGCAAGGCTTTTTGATCTGTCATAGTTCCAACCGGCGGCCACGGAAGGATGGGCTCTGCAATGCTGGCTAAGGTCTTCAGACCTAGTTTCGCACTCCAGGCCTATAAATCGAGACGTTTGGAATCGCCTCGTCCAGAGAGGAGGGAAGTTAACATCCTCTGGAGTGAGGCAGGTCAAGTGCCTTGTCGTGTAATGGTTAACGCAGTGACCTGGTAAGCGGCAGGTCGCGGGTTCGAGTCCCGGCGCTGCACAGATTTTTGATTTTGATAGTTCGAACTGAGTACAGTGGCTTAGTTCTAGTACCTTAGATTATGCTTAATTGAATTACAGTAAGCCTGTAGCTACAGTAAGCCTGTAGCTACAGTAAGCCTGTAGCTACAGTAAGCCTGTAGCTACAGTAAGCCTGTAGCTACAGTAAGCCTGTAGCTACAGTAAGCCTGTAGCTACAGTAAGCCTGTAGCTACAGTAAGCCTACATCGGCTTGAAATTTGATAGACTTGGAGATTGATGAATGAGTAAACTTGTTTAGTGAATGACTTGTCTACTTTTCGGTACAGTAGTCTTTCAAATTTTTGCTCTGCCTAATTCCCCAATTGTCAAAAACAAATTCACGAGTTGATGATTGCCAGAACATTGAAATCTTTTTCAGGAACGAGTTGGAGATTCAATGCACTAATGTGGCCACTGATTTCTTCTTGGCTGGAATGGAGACTACATCGACCTCACTTCAATGGGCTCTTCGGTATATGGCCGCCTATCCAGATGTCCAGGTAACACAACATAGATAAACATCAATCTAACAATGCATTCTAGTTCTCTAGTCGGTTTTGTTGCATATCTTGGGGTGAATAAGTTTACCCAATAATCCTTGCTTTATTCTCGATTAGATTAAGAAAAGTGAAGTGAAATTTTGCATTTATCTATGCTAGATTTATATAATCTATTAGTAGGCTTTATTCTATATAATGCAGTGAATAAGTTTATCTTTTAATTTGACTTTCTAGCCTGGTTTTTAACTTAGCTTTAGACCAATGTAGCTCGAGTAGACTTGACTAAGAATTATTGTTTTGATATTTTTAATAACAGAAATATGAAAAAAGAAACCGATCCTTAGGAAAAATGCCGTCAAGAGATTCTATCAGCTGTTGGTAATGAGAGGCTGCCTTCACTTGCTGACAAGAACACTCTCCCCTATACAAATGCCACTGTTCTCGAGATTCAGGTACTATAAAAAACTCTGTTCAATTACAGGATAACTTAAAAAGAATCTTTTATCTATATCTATCTGTTGCCGTAAATACTGTAATAGTACCCTACCCGCATAATGACGGTGCGGAGTGTTGTGTAGTCTAGCTTTGAACGAGTTTTTCTCGACACTGGTTTATGCTACAATGCTCGCTTTGGTATCAAAAAACAGCCCTGAATTTCAGCTATTTTTTGATACCAAAGATCATGACGGTGCGGAGTGCTGTGTAGTCTAGCTTTGACAGCGTTTTTCTCGACACTGGTTTATGCTACAATGCGCGCTTAGTTATCAAAAAATAGCTGAAATTCAGGGCTATTTTTTCATACCAAAGACTCATTTTTTGAAAGTACGGGCGCTTTGAAAAAAATGAAATACTAAAAAACTTTTGCGACTACGCGACTGTACGAGGGCGGTAGGGTACTATTACAGTATTTACGGTAGGTAGAATGCTAGATCTTTAGAAGGGAAATTGGCTTTAGAAAAACCATACCGTAAATACTGTAATAGTACTCCAGCTTTTTCAGTTTTTTGAAAAACAATCCATTCTCTGATCAAAAAACATAACAAATATATAAGATTCTTTTTTTAAAACATCTTGTAATTGAACAGAGACTGAATTACAGACAGAAATCAATCTAAAACATTTATTTCCCCAATTATCAATAAGTTTAGCGTCACGCGAACATCATTCCACTGAACGTTTTCCATAAAGCGACTTGTGACACGCATATTGGTGGACATCCAATACCAGAAGGAACATTAGTGATTGGACAGGTAGATCAAATAAAACAAGCAACATACTTAGAAAAGAACTGGCTTTTCTTGCTTTTATCTTTAAAATTAGATTCATCAAGTGCATATCGCTGATCCAGTCTATCCAAATCCAGAAGAATTTCAACCGGAGAGATTTCTTCAAAAGGATATGAAAACACCGAACAAAGTACGAAAGTTGGCTAGATTATTTAGAAGAAGTTTTTAAGGATTAAAACTGTATTAGAAATGTATTAGATTTGTATCGAAACAATTTCAGGAAGCAGTTGATCGATTATCTCCATTCTCAATCGGAAAGCGCCAATGTGCTGGGGAAGGAATGGCTAAAGTTGAATTGTTTCTTGGATTCGCTGGATTAATGCAAAGGTTTGTAAGATATTTTAATAATAGAATACCGTATTCTCTCTAATAGTAGTGCGCACTACTATTTTTTCAACCCCCTCCTAAACCGCAACACTATTAGAGAGTGCACTACTATTAAAGAGTTTTATCATTTACCAAAGTAAGACAGATATAAGATTTGTTCCAAAAATTCTTGCAATACTTTCACGTACACCTTTGGCTCCTTTTGACATACAGTTGTGGGCCGGCGAGTTGACAATTTGTGTCTTGACAAACAACAAAAAGATGTTTTTGCACTTTGCACAATAATTTTAGATTTTTTGCTAACTTTTTCATGTGAAGAATAGTTAATAAATGAATAAAAAAAAGCCTCACTTTTGCTTGCTTGAATAGCTTTAGAATGTCACATAAACATAAAGTCAAAAAGGTTTAGATGAAAAAGAAGCAAACAGAAAATCAAATTTTCGGGGGTGCACTACTATTTTTTCAACTCCCTCTCGAAGCGCAATACTATTAGAGAGTGCACTACTATTAGAGAGAATACGGTAATAGAATAATAGAATAATAGAATAATAGAATAATAGAATAATAGAATAATAGAATAATAGAATAATAGAATAATAGAATAAATAGAATAATATTGGGTTGTCCAGTTATGAATGCGCGTTTTTTACTATTTTGTAAATTTCTCAAGATACCGAAATCAAGAAAAAGATATATATGAGTATTATTCGAAAGCTGAAGATCTCCTCTATATTTTGATATAAAAAGCTTTTGAATTTGTTCAGCTTTTGGGCAAATTGACTGCACAGAAGAAGAGGTGGCCAAAAAATGGAAGGGTGCCTTTGGATCAAGTTTTGGCTCCGCTCAAATTGAGTTAACCGTTTGATGTTTGGCCAATAGATATATCAATACAACTTTTTTTTAAATATATCAACTTCAGAGCATCTTTACTTTTCTTTTCTTTTCTGGGCGGTTATTTTACAGCATAAAACTTGAGGAATAGCTAAGCTGAAATGGGTTTTTTTTTCGAAAACGACCTCTCCCTTTGTGCAGTCAATTTGCCCAAAAGCTGAACAAATTTCAAAGGTTTTAATATCAAAATGTAGAGGAGATCTTCAGCTTTCGAATGATATATAACACTCATATACATCTGTTCGGTATCTTGAGAAATTTGGAAAATAGTAAAAAACTGGACAACCCAATAGAATAATAGCATTCATAACTGGACTGGCAATAATAGAACTGGCATTCATAACTGGACAACGCAATAGAATAATAGAATAAATAGAATAATAATAGAATAATAATAGAATATCTAATTTAAGATTTTACAGAACTAAACAGTTGGCCATTCATCTTACAAGTCATCTTACAAAGAAGATTGTCAAAACATTACTTAAAACTAGCTGATTGTCAACTAGTAGAATATTATTTTAACTTAAGATTGATAATCTTTCAGATACAAATTCTCTCCATGTCGTGGAGAGAAAATCGATTTGACTCCAGTGCCTGCAATGGTTCAACAACCCCAACAACAACTCCTAATCGTTGAAGAAGTAAACGCTAACTTGATCTAAGCTTTTATTTAAGCGATAAATATTTTACATACGACTACAAAAATAATGATATGACTTTGTGACTTTGCGTCAACTGATCTTCATCTTTTGAGACACAATTTGTTACGCTAGCTGAGCGTGAAATTGGATAAAGGATGGCAAAGGAGTTGAGTAAGAAAAATAGAAAAATTTCTTGTGTTTTTCGATTCTAAGAATAGCGTGGTACAGAAATATTTGTCAAGGAAAGATCTTTTCAAAGATTCCGTCATGAAATAAAGTGATATATTGTCTTAAAATCTTGGGGTGAAAGAAAGTGATGATGTCAAGGAGAATGGTGAGTTCTCAGATATAGTAAAACGTGATAAATAAGTAGTTGTGACTAGATTTCTACAATTAGTAATACTTCACATAAGCACTACTTTTCCTTGACTACCCTAAAACTAGGAATTCCTTATACAGTGCGTTTCAAATTCTTAAACACACCCTCCAAAATAAAGATTTTTGCATTTTCAACGACGCTGCAACTATTATTCCCCTTTATTGGAAAGAACGTATCTTAAAACCTAGAAAATACTAAAAATAAGCATTTTCACTAGTAACTAGTCAACTTGAATTCAATATTCAAGCACCATCGAGCTTAAAAATATTGTTTTGTTCACGAGATATGATTCAAATAAGCGCCCTAACTACACTGCGTTTCAAATTCTTAAACGCAACTTCCAAAATAAAGTTTTTTGCATTTTCAACAACGCTGCAACTATTATTCCTCTTTATTGGAAAGAACGTATCTTAAAACCTAAAAAACACTAAAAATAAGCACACTGTAAAAAGTAAAAATTTTCAAAATAGAAACTTTTCGTTTCGACGTTTTGAACGTTTCGAAACAAAATAGAAAAATAATAAATCAACCGTTTCAAATTCTTAACAGCACCCATATATCCCTGTTTACTCTTGTTTTCCTTTTGTTGTCCATATTTTATTATTAAATTTATAACTTTTATTAATTTCTAGGTAAATGGCACACGGAAAGCTTCATAGCTTTATTTATCGGGTTCATCAAGCACAAACCAGTTTAACTTTTGTGCAAGTAAGGCATGTACAGCTTTTCACTAGTAACTAGTCAACTTGCATTCAATATTCAAGCATCATCTGGCTTAAAAGCACTGTTTTGTTCATGAGATATGATTCAAATAAGCGCCCTAACTACACTGCGTTTCAAATTCTTAAACGCAACCTCCAAAATAAAGATTTTTGCATTTTCAACAACACTGCAACTATTATTCCTCCTTATTGGAAAGAACGTATCTTAAAACCTAGACAATACTAAAAATAAGCATACTGTAAAAAGTAAAAAATTTCAAAATAGAAACTTTTCGTTTCGACGTTTTGAACGTTTCGAAACAAAATAGAAAAATAATAAATCAACCGTTTCAAATTCTTAGCAGCACCCATATATCCGTGTTTACTATCGTTTTCCTTTTGTTGTGCATATTTTATTATTAAATTTATAACTTTTGTTAATTTCTAGGTAAATGGCACACGGAAAGCTTCTCACGGATTATGTGAAAGTCTCGATTGATTGATGATCCAGAAAGATCACCTAAACAAGAAAAATTAATAGAACATAAGTTGCTTTCTAACCTTAGATCAATCCTGGTTCATATGTGAAGTATTACGTGAAGTATTACTAATTGTAGAAATCGATCACAACTACTTATTTATCACGTTTTACTATACCTGAAAACTCACCATTAATCGTTCTAGTGCGTACACAGATTATTGATTTTGGTTTTTACTTTTTATTGTTAATTTTTGTCAATAAATAATAATTTTTTCATAGTGTGGTTAAGAATTTGATTGGTTAAGCTTATTTTTAGTGTTTTTTCCAATAAAGAGGAATAATAGTTGCAGCGTTGTTGAAAATGCAAAACTCTTTATTTTGGAGGTTGCGTTTAAGAATTTGAAACGCAATCTAGTTAGGGCGCTTATTTGAATCATATCTCATGAACAAAACAGTGCTTTTAAGCCAGATGATGCTTGAATATTGAATGCAAGTTGACTAGTTACTAGTGAAAAGCTGTACATGCCTTACTTGCACAAAAGTTAAACTGGTTTATGCTTGATGAACCCTATAAATAAAGCTCAGCTGCATTAGCTCATTAGCTTCAAAATGCTAGAAGTTGCTGCAAAAGAAAAACAGAAACAAAAAGCCGAACCGAACCGAAACCTGATCTTTCGATTCTTTCAATCACCTTAAACCTCGAACTTTCAATATTTGTTACCTAGCTACCGTAGCCTAACCCAATGGCACCTGTTTAGGGATTAGAGAAACAAGTAACTCCAAATGTGGCTCTACCTTGGGGTCAATGAGAGTCATTCCCAAATTGGATGCTCTCTGCAAGAAGAAAGGTGCATTTGTGTCCAGCTCTTCCAATGAACATCCCATGTCCTGCTCATTCAATCGTGTCTAACTTTGAGTCTCTCCAGGTGGTCCTCTTGGCTCTCCATTAATCTACAAATGCATTAGAACAAAGGATAGTGAAAATATTGATGGCTTGGGTAAAGTTTGGCAATAGGACAAATGATAATCTATTGGTATAGAAAAATCTGAGCTGATCTATTTAAAAAAGAATTTGAAAAATGATTCAAGTACCAGAATTTGACAAATATCATAATAAAATCCAAGTTTTTTTGCTAGATTTGTTTAAAAAAGCTTTTTTTAACTGGAGTTTGTAAATTAGAAAAGGCTAAAGATTGATCTAGATCTGATTTTTGGTGAGTCTAGAGTTTTTTTGTGGACTAAGCCCAAACCTTGCTTTACCAGGCTTTACCATAGTTGAAGATAAGTTAAATAACTTGAAGACTAAAAGCTATCTTATAGCTACCTTATAGCTACCTTATAGCTACCTTCTAGCTACCTTAAAGCTATCTTATAGCTACCTTATAGCTACCTTATAGCTACCTTATAGTTACCTTATAGCTACCTTAAAGCTACCTTATAGCTACCTTATAGCTACCTTAAAGCTACCTTATAGCTACCTTAAAGCTACCTTATAGCTACCTTATGCCTACCTTCTAGCTACCTTAAATCAAAGCCAACAATAATAAGCACTTAATTTCAAACAGCTTTTTTTAATCTAAAAATTCCACTTTTTCAATTGCTAGTTCATCTACAAATCCATCGTTTCTTTAAAACGAAAAAGCAATTGAAGAGCAATCCATGTCTCTTTTTGCCTCACTTCCAAATGGAGAAAGGAGAAGTGTCGTTTTGTCATATTCTGACTTTTTCTCTCGTTGGTAGGGGTAGCTGCGATCGCTTGGGGAGTGGGTCGAAGCATTGGGAAGCAGCCGACCAAGAGTAATCTGTCCTCTCAACAAGTGAAGGGGGGAATAACATGACTTTTTGCTTTCACCATAACTCACACTCACATATTGTGCCTTTTAGAATTCTCGAAATCTATTCAATAAAATAATTTCAAGTAAACTTGATAAAAACTGAAAACTGGAAAGGTTTAATATTTCATAGTTAAACCAGAAAACAGAAAACTTGACAGAAAACAGATTTTTGCTGTTTGATGACTGTTTGTTTAACTGATATAATTATAATAGAACTTGAATTGAAGAATGTTATTGAAAACTAGAAAGCTCAGGCAGCTCAGCTCAGCTCAGCTCAGCTCAGGCATTCTTGGACTTCTCAAATCTCTGAAATCTATTGGATACAATAATTTCAAGTAAAATTAATAAAATCTATGTGTTGGCATTGTTGGAAACCGATCAATGAAGCAAAATTCCATCTGTTGACACTCTTAATCCAAACCTAACTTTCCAATTCAGAGCACCGTCAAATTTCCTAGATTACTGTCTAGCTAGGCTTTCCCGATTGGTGGAGTTGTGCGCCCTCAGGGGCCGCCCCGCCCCTCTTCCCCCTCTGCAGGCCTCTCTCTGAACAGTGAGGTCTTCCTCGAGAATCCCTTCAACCCTTCCAAGCGACTAGTTCTGAATTTCACGGTCGTGCTCGACCGGCCGCAAGCCGATCGTCCAACGAAGCGTCCCTCGGCTCTCTCCTCCTCTCGATCCGCTGGTCCACATTGCTCACCAGGTAGACCTCTTTTTATGCTCCTCAATCAGTTGCTGTTCATTTTATGCTAAAGCTAAGAATGGATGTTGAAGGTGAGAAATAGATATTTAGTATCATCTACTTCTAGAACTAGCTAGCTGGCTTCCCTTTCCATTTCTATATAATAGTTTATTTTAAAGTCCTGGAGCAGCTAGAGCTTTGAATCAAAAGCCTGTTGAAATCCTTACAACTAGAGTTCTAAAGAATCCCATCGAATTCCATCGAATTTCTTTTTTGATTCTTTAGAACTCTAGCTGTAAGGACTTTCAACAGGCTTTTAATTCAAAGCTCTAGCTGCTCCAGGACTTTAAAATAAACTATTATATAGAAACGGAAAGGGAAGCCAGCTAGCTAGCCTGAAACTAGTCTTGGATACTATTGTGTTTGTAAGCTCAAAGCTTTGTAAGCTACTATTGTGTTTGTAAGCCCAGAAAGGATGTGTTTGTAAGCTCAAAGTACACTTTTGAAAGGCTCAATATCATTTTTTCGTTCTTTTTTTGCATTCCCTTGACTTATTAATAGCTTTTCAAAGACGTGGGCGTTGAAGATACTGTAATTTTCTTGATTCTTCTTGTACTTTCGTATATTCAACTGATCAATACTCTGAATTCTTTCAAAATCTCCTATTTTCTTTCATTTTTAATCCCTAGATATTTATATAAAATGATTTTTTCCGAGTCACCGATTTCCCTGTCGAAAACGATGAATCATAAATGGACACTTTTTCAATAGTAAACTCAATTTTTAGAATTTATTGAATGCAATTTTCTTTTTCATATCTCTTCATTGAAATTTTCGAATTATCTTGTCACTGTACTCTCATCTCTTTTCCATGTCAAAGTGTTCAAGGTCTAATGAAAAGAGTCGTAATTGCGCAATTGTTTCGACTTTTTAATAAGAA